CTCCGGACGACTGAATAACGCCGGCATTCTAGGCGGCATTTTGAAGCACTAATTTGAATGAGTGCTCCCTCAGGTAAGTGTTGGACGACAAGGCAAAGAGTGAACGAAATAGATAACCTGGGCTCTGCATTAATTAATACACCAAGATCAAGTTCTCTCAAATGCGGTGATACTGTTTGGAGTACAGTTGAAATGATTCCAGTCTTTCCGAGTACAGTCCATTGTCTATTTTGGTGGTCATTCTTTTTGGACGTTCCAGAAACTCAATCGCGTTGCAGCCATAGATTCCATGCTTGAATGGTGTTTTCCATACGGGGTCGAATGTAGGCTGAGAACAATTGTAGGAACAGCGTAGGTTCAAATTTGCTAAATACTCGTTTTAGCAAATCAACATGTCTTACAGCGGTAGATGACACCCGGGAGCAGTTTAAAGAACAACTTAGGTCGCCTTGAACAATGACACCGAGATCCTTCTCACTCGAGACGTATCGAAGTTGTTGATCTCCTAGGAAATACGGAAACCTGGTTTTGCGTCGAAGGTATATGACCGTGCATTTTGATAAATCAAATTCCATGCCATTTTCGATCGCCCATAAATAGGCAGCATTAAGTGTTCTCTGAAGTACTAGTGAGTCTTCTGGTTTTGTTCCCGGTTTTCATATTTTTGCATAGTCTATGAAAACAAGAAAAAGTTGAGGGCCACTCAAGGATACCTGTGGAACTCCTCGTGCCACGTTGATGGGATCAGAAAGTGACCCAGAAACCAGAACTGCCATGGTGCGTTGTCGAATAAATTCTTCTATCCAGCCCAGTACAAATCCCCGTACTCCATAAATGTGTAATTTTCTCAGCAGTATTTTGTGATTCACTCGGTCGAATGCTTTGGAGAAGTTGAGGTACACTACGTCCACTGTATCACCGTGATCAATTTCCTCTGTCCACTCTCCTCAGGCCAGAAGCAGGTTAGTGTTACACGATCTCCTGCGACGAAACCCGTGTGTAGCAGGAGATAACATATTTTGCTAAGTGACTCATCACATTGTCTGCAACAATAAAATTCCATTGCGTTACCAGCATGCCACCACAGCCCGTGGATCACAAACCGGTATGTCACGTGATCGGGTACATTATGTCCACCCATATATGATGGCTCATCTAACTAATTTTTTTTTCGGGGTGGGGGGGCATATTTATAGTAATAGACTCTATCATGCTCGGTAATTAGATCTTGAATTTATGATACCTTACCGTATTAATAGAAAATAATTGCATAAAATGAGCTTATTGAGACAATTTGCGATCCCCCGGATGGGTTCCGTGTGAATTTAGCTGGAGTATCATAATCTGGGAACATTGCCGATTGTGTACCACATGCCGGAATAGTTAAAAGTGCATACTGTGGTGATCTTCTTCCTGTCAAATGCTTCGACGCACATTTCTTCTTTTTTCAATCCACGTTTTGCAGACACTATCAATAAAGGCTTGCAAAGCTCGCAACTATCTGTTCACTGGGATCACTGAGATACGCATCGTGGAGCCAGGTTTTGTGATAGTCTTGGAGAGAAACATCCTGGTTGGATCTCATCCGGGATGTGAAACCGTAAACTCAACTGCGGATCGAACCCAGGACCTCACAGGAAGAATGCAAACATACTACTCACTTGACTGCCGATCATCTGATCCGACCGATTTTCCTTTTATATCGATCGATTTGCACGGCTGATATGACTCAACCAGATAAAATAGCTGTCCAGCGTTTCACGCTCTTTGCTCTGTACACCAAGAATTTTGCCATAAATTCAAATGGTATCCTCCACTACTCTCCTGAAGCTTGTTTTCAACTATAAGTTATGTTTCACCTGCAAAGCACTGTTTAAGCCACAATGAACTGATGAAAATATTTCGATCACTTATCTGATAATTCTTTGAAATAACAGCCTTTCAAATGACAATTAGAAGACTAAAGCTGTTTGATTGGAACCAGCAGTGAGCGGGATCATCGGGAGTAATTTACACGGTTAGGTTTTCCGTCAGCGTGACATTCGTTCTAATGTTCGAGCACATTTTAATGCAACACAAATCGAGGCTTATCATCAGTGAATCTGCTTTCCATATTGACTAATAAATTTGTATGTCGATTGTAAAACGTTCAGTAGCCTCGGTGTGATTCGAACCCATGCATGGATGCCGCCTACGCTTCGAATGTGAAAATATCAGTGCTATCGGTGTGGCCTCGTAGCTCAGTTGGTAGAGTGGCACACTAAAATGAAATAAACGTTAGGGGTAAATCATGTTTTCACATTCCCGGTTTGGTGTCCAATTCGTATGTGAAAAACGTTGTTAAGTTTGTGTGAAAATAGGATGGGTGGAGCATGATGGGACACAGGAGTGTTTTTATGCCACAAGAGTGCGTTTGTGCATGCAGATTACCGCTACTTCCGCTGTGGTTAGGATGCGATGTTAAATCCGCTTAGATTGTTGACCATGCGTTCCGGTAAAGTCACTGACCTGGGTGGACAAAGTGTGAGTAGATTGCACTTGAGTTAGACATTGTAACCCCCGTGTACAAACAAGCCGAAAGATGTTCAGGAACTCGCTGAGTCAAGCTTCCGCTCATGTATCTGGTAAACGTTGTTACATGAAAAAGTGAAAGAGTAAACACAATCTGTGGCCGTAGAAACAGGAACTTCATGTAGTAATTGTGGTAATAGTAGTAATACTCACGGAACTCGGAACACGAATCACGCAATATGAATTACGAAACACGAATCATAGATCAGCTATCACGGACTGGATCACGTAAGCACTGGACCGCACCGGTACTAGCACGAATATCCCACGTGACTGAGAATCGCGAAAAAGGCCACAGGAATGGTCGATTGTTTATTGGAAGAAACAAGGGGATTAAATAATATGAACCAAGTAAGCTCATTGGTTATCCGGGTTTCTACCAATCGCCTTCCAGTATTGCTGGCATCGTTCTGCTTTTGTCGAGGCCGGGCGATCTCTGATTGGCTACTACTATCTGCCTATGGTATGAAACCAGAAGCAGTGACAGATTCGCGCGTTGTTGACGTCACCCGTGAGGTTTGATTGATCGCATTTGTTCAAAAACTGTAACGCGCCCCTCAAGGGTACGCGTCATCTTGTAGGCCTGGACCACCACACTTTCTTTATCTCTGGTTTAAAACCCGATGGCAGGCCTAAGCGCGAATGTAATAAGGATTTTGTACCCCGAATGTTTAACTAACTGTAGTTGCTAATCTCCAACTAACTATTTCAGCCGTAGAGTCGTCAGTAAGTGCCAATCTTGTGTAACCCCGCCATTTTATACTCGCATAGTTTCCCCTCGTTTATCTAGTGCTAGTAGTATGATGGCTACAAATCGATCCGGGTATGTAATTGGTTGAAAGGCCTGGAGTAAAGACTTGAATTTTTTATTTGAATTTCATCAACAGGACAGATTTCCTGAGCTCTACTGACGACAAACTAAACTAAGTTTCGATTTCGTTTGAAAGAAACAAAAGTGTGTACGTCGTGAACTGGTGAAAGAGAAAAACATCTTGATGATGATGATGTCAGATGAGAACTAACTTTATGGCAAAATTAAATTCCTACTGCTGTATCACATGAAGGACTTTGTGTGAATAAGTGATGTTTGATGCGGTGTACTCTACTCCGTTTGATAAGAAACATTTTTCTGGCTATGGTTCTTGTTTCGCTTCGATAATAATGCTAAAATGGCCATATTTGTTGTTTAACCATACCCCGCCAAGCGAGAGCGGGTATTCAAACTGGAAAGTTTCCAAACATCAGTTTAGTATTAAGCAGTAGCAAAATGTTTGACTTACTCAACTCACATAGGTCTTATTTATTTGAAGTCCTCAAATGAGGTTAATCGGTCCTGAAATATGTTGCTAATGAGCACTGACTGAACGGGACAAATAAGAGAAACTCTGCGCAGATGTTTACCTCGATACAAGTTTTCGTATACCGCTGGGTTTTATTATCCGTTGCATTATCGTTTCTCAAATGCATTGTTTACATCGTTTCCATGATATTGCTTGCATTTGTTTCCAGACTTGATCGATCGGTTCAATGGGGACGTCTGAATGGTGGGCTTATAGAGAAGCAAATTAGCCACCACATCTGTAAACCTGAGAATGTTTGCCTATCGCGCACAAACACCCACTTAGCAACGTCTTGAATTAAATTTTAAAAAAATCAGTTGAAAAGATCCTAAAACCCAGATTTTCAAAGGGGTACCCTAGTGAATGTCCTGATCAATCCTACATTAGCTAATATTTTACTAATTACACCTAGCATTAGTAATATAAAAACTAGTAATAATTTTTTGGATGATCCATCAATACGATAACCAATGTTAGAAGTCTTACATTAACCCGACAAACCGGGTACTTATTGCCTTTAACCTAATGTGTTTTACCCTGGATATCTCAGTTTGGGGGATAGAAAGGTCACGTGATCTGAATCAAGATATCGATATGCATCAGTCCCTGAAAAGTGGATTCTGACCACACGAATAATACGATTTTCCTTGTTCATCAGTATTGTGTTGAGTTATAATTGTTGTTATCCAAGGTGATACGACTGTCTTTTATTTGTCAGGACAATGACCTGAAAGGTTTATTTAATACGTGTGTGCACACGCAAGTCCTATGCTGTCATATATCTTGTGCTTGTGTTTTTATCGATCGCTCGATTGCATTCAAACTAACCACTATATCTCATTATAGATTCTGGTCTAGGCAAGAACAATCACTTGCTGACAGATCGTTTGGAAGCGTTGTTTGAGTGTGTCTCTCTCTAGTGCAAGTGTGTTCCTGTCGAATCATAAGTGAAACAAGCCAGTATATATATATCTATATCTAAGCTAACATATTTGGGAAGAATATTAATCTACACATAGAGAGTCAACAGATTATGGAATAAACATGGCCTTACCGTTACAAGAACATAACGGCAATCTTGAACATCAAATGAAATCATACCCAGAATGGAGCAAACTGCTGCCCGAACCAGGACCTATAGACCCATCCATATTGATCGACCCTAATTTGACTATTAAATTGGGGAAAGAATTGCAAAAACGTATAGGCACTCTGCCACGAGTGGAAGTACACGCGTTTCATTTGGAATTTCAACCAGGTGAAATAGTGCGTATGCTTCGAGTTCAACCTCAGTCCTATTCGGAAATCGCCCGGGCCATTCGAGCAGCACGAACTATGAAACTGACCGTACGAGCTTGTGGTCAACGGACAGGAGGAGATACAAGCATTTACGGGACCACGCCCACTGTTTTAGTGGACTGCACCCAATTGGCAGATAGTCCACGAATGGAATTTGTCAATATCCATCGCAAAGGGGAACAGGAAGAAACGCCGGGATTACGTGTTCTGTCCGGTGTCAGTATAAACGAGTTGGTCACATTTCAACTGATTCACAAGATTGAAATTGCCCAAAGTGTGGAGACCACATCGGTGTGGGGCACTGTGGTCGGGGCGATCACCGCAACCACACCGGGACTGGTGGGTCCGGCTGGGGGTGCGACCGGTGGTTGTCTGTCGGACGAGGTGATCTGCATACGGATTGTGGATTGTCACGGAGATCTCATCACCTATTCTAGCCCGACTGAACTATCTTCCGCTTTGTCTACACTTGGCCTACTAGGAGTTGTGTACGACGTGACCTTGCGCTACAAACCAATCACGCTGACTAATGTAAGTATGAGTATCAAGGACCAGTCAGGATAGTCTGGTTTGCGTTTAACTTGGTTCTATTGATTTTCCATTCCTTTTGAAAATAATTAAAAAATTAAGTAATAATACATTTGAGATTGTAATTGTTATTCGTCTTCGCGAACCACTACACTGCATATTCACATTGAAATAATCATACCAAACCCTTTTTTTTATTTATTTTTAGTCTTTCCGAAAGAACCTATTTAATAGCCCCAGCCTGTTTGGATGTGAGATTTGTGTGTGACATGATACCATAGACTCATCTTAGAAAATCAGAGTTCCGAAGTTTGATTGTCCATAGCACTGTCTAAATGTTCCTGAAATTAACTAAGTTATTTTTGAACTATTTGCGGATAGTGTTGGAGGCATTTTAAGCAGAATTAAAGTCTGTGGGTCAGAATTGTCCCATCATTATGACCGGTTACAGAAAGGTCGCTTTTGATTCTGTTTCATTCACTGTTCTCCTCGGTAGATGTGACTGGACAGCGAAAATAACACCCTCGAGATCTATGAAGTTATGCACTGACTCTACTTGCCAATTGTCCATCTAACTTCTGCATCCTGGTAACAGTGAAATCAACCGGGTTGTGATAAATCATAAGAGTAGAAATGAAAATATGGTAGTAAAGTAAACTGTCCTTTATTAATAATTCATACTTACAGTTGATCCTTTATCACATAGTTTGAGATTCAGAACTTGTGACTGCTTAGCATCTTTGATGGCCATAGCGCCATGTGACTCAATGGTTCGTTTGTACCTTTGAGTTCGGTACTCCAGGTCTCAGGTCTGAGGTCGGTAGTTTCAATCACTCAGCCGTAAGATATTGTGAGAATGTCTGAAGCCCATTACTCTTCATTGCTCAAGAATGTAAAATAAGAATGTATTGTACATGGAACTTTTAAATGTCACGAAAAACAAACAATGAGATAGGGCGTTTCAAAGTTTCCACTGTTTGTTATTTAGGAAATTAAAATATACAATACATACCCAATTACTAACAAAGATCTGCTGGGGCAAAACAACGTGGGATTGATGTAAAACAAGGTGATAACAAGCAAGGGAATGTGAATCATTTGAAATTTCTGCTTGTTTCTGCTTATAATTATTGCTCCAAGCACGATATCGGTTAATTTGACGTTCTAAGGGTGATCAAAATGGGGTTGGATGCATTGAACTGATGACTAGCGGTCAACTAAATTATGTATTACACTAGAACTTCCACTAGCTTTCTAGTTCTTCTTCCGTTGCTTAATCAAGCAGGCTGATAATAGAAAACAACCATAACCGTCAGAAAATCTTCCGGTTTATTTGTTGCTTAAGCTGCATAGCATGGAACTCAATTGAATAATAGCCGTAAATGGTAGATTTTTACGGCGGTGTTCAAAATGTTTGAGGACATCCAGGAAGAAATTACATGCCTCCTGATCAACATTCACTCCTATATACCAAGTTCGTCTAATTCGTCTGTAGTTGACCTATTTAATTCTAGTGCACATCAGAAGCCTTATAATTTTTGATTACTTGTAAGGGGATTTTGTATGCGAAAGCCAATAGTGGACGCTGGCAATCAGTTAAACAATTTATAGATTCATCAGCATTGGGTACTATGTTCGTATGCATGCCTGCATTCGAACCGCGAACCTCGCAGTTGGGATTTACATGACCTATTTTTAAACGATTAAGTTGATCGCTAGCACGGTGAGTTTTATAGGTGTATTTTGACGGAAAGGAGGTTTACGAAGTTCCCTAAACTGCATGATTTATACTAATCAGGGAAACCTGAAAATTTGTAATATGCTATGTAAAACGCATCTTGATGAACATACTCAATAATACCAGCAGGAAAAAGGGCCTTGAGTAATGTGATTCATATGCATTGTGATAGCACAAATCGCCTTAAAACGCTTTAAAAAGTTTACAGAGAAACTGATTCTACTTCCTTCTTTACCATTATAGGTCAACTATAAATTTATCAGATGGTCTGAATTGTGCGATCCAAACAGCCAACTTCTACGGGACTCACTCGCCAACGACATGTTCACCGAACTGATCTACCTTCCATTCAACAGTTGCAATGTTTCTGCAGAGAAAGAATTGACTGATCTGAACAATTGGGATCCAATGAACGATGAGGTGGTTGTGCGTACCGGTCAACGTGTTATCCCACCGGACGAAGATCCGTCCAATCCCAGTGTATCTGATTCGAAACCGCGTGAACAAGTACATCTTCTCGACCCGGTATTCGGTCCCGAACCAAAGGCGTTTGTACGCACTCCGGAAAAAACTCCGTGGCTGTTAGCCAGTGCTCATCATTATCTTCGCTGTCGGTTTCAGCCCAACCCAAATTCGACTCAATTCACCCCATGGGCTGTAAATGCTTTGGGAAAAATCACGGAACCGTTGAGGCAGTTACGATTCACCACGGAGTGTGATCAACAACTGAATGAGTTTCCTAACGTAAGTGGTTGTTCAGATGACTGAGAGAGAGAGAGTGATTATGTAGGTTTGTTCAGTTCGTAAGCGTCCAATTACGCATTCACAACACTCATGCTGTAGTGAAATTGTGAAAAGTTCAGTAGCCTCTGACGGATTCGAACCCACGCACGGACGCCGCCTACGCTTTTGTACAGCACACGCTCTACCAACTAAGCTTTGCGCTCGTTTTTCGCAAAAGCGCCAAAATCATTGCGTCACAAGCAAAATGGATCACAAATTTTGCACCGCTCACGTAAGGGATAAAGTTAGACTGACAACGCCATCAAACATCATTTGTAATGTGAATGTGCAAGCCAACCCCTTCAGGTTCTCGCATTATTGATGGTTCGTTTGCAAGTAATACCATCACTCTAAGTGTATCATAACCCTTGGGGAAAATACCCAGTTTTTTGTATTTCAATGATGCAAGTTTACGAAGCTATTAAATTTCCGAGTGAACAATACTGTTTGCACTTTTGTCAGTTCGCTAGTTTGGCAAAATATGCGGCCAAGTTCACAATCGGAACCACATACATATATCACTTATATTTCATTTGCTTGCATCATGGTGTGATCATATTTATGCATTTTGAATTTTCCACTTCATACGCGAATGTCCAGTGGAATGGTGAGGTGCCTAAAACAAAAATATGCATGAACTGAATTACAACACCGTATAGTTTTTAGTGTTAAGTATATCGGCCTAAAAAGAGAATTGGGCTGAAACATTATGTATTCATTTCAGAAGCTTACCAAGTGATTGCACTTTATCTAGGCAGTCTGATTGAGAGGTGCTTCACGTCTGGCTATTGCAACAACCGTTTCTTTGTTTCCCATAATGGAAAGATAAATATGCGTCGGTTTTGCATCGCACTCAACGTGCACTCTGGTCGCTGCTGTGCCTCGTTCAAACAGTCACATTGTTCCCATTATTTAACGCTTAGATGCCTCAAAAACGATTCTGAATGGCCATCTGAATCCAACAAAACTTGAAATTTCCACCGATCTGGTAGATTGAGTCTGCTTTATTCTTCAATTATTCGTGTATCTACTGGATAGGATAGAAATAGGGTTATTCAGTTTATATTATTGGAATAAGGATTGAATTGAACTTTAAAAAAATGCACTCGGCCTAACCCAACGAACTTTTAGACAACATGTTTCATCGGGCTCTCTCAGACTCACTGATGCACATCGGGAAGTCCCGGTTCCTAGTGACTATAATGATAAGAGCCTTGGTGAATCGAGAATTCACAAAGGGCTTAGAGAAATAACCAAAAACCCTGATGAGTGCTATATGAAAAAATAGCGTCAGCAGCGAGGTGTAGATAAATCCGGCACCAAGTGACTGTGCTTTAGTGAAACAATCTGCGAAGTAGACTCACCCGTACACGGTCTTCAGCCTCATTTCCGATTATCCGTGAGCACCCATTAGGTCACCCTATCTCAGCGTTTCTCTCCAACTTTACTATAGGTGATGTCTTATAACAGGCGCTGCCTAATATAACGCACTTTGGTGATGGGCTTCTTCTTGTAGACAATTCTAGATATAGAGTATGCAGTAGCAAATGTCATACTGTTTAACAATTCACCCGGGATTCAAAACACACTGAATCGCTTGGCAATCAAGGTTGCTCTCTATCTCACTTGCTTTATATCCTCAAAGTGTGAGGTGTTACTGCGAGACTGTCAGGTACCTGTTCCTGCTGGGTAATGGAAATCTGGAAGTGGTCGAGAACTTTGTTTACTTCGCACGTTGTGTAGCGAGTGGTCGAGGAGAGTTATGTGTGCACAATGAATGCATGATTAGCGTTGCTAATCTGACAAAAAGAGTCTCGAGAAAAGCTGTGCAAGCTCCCTGCTGAATGCACAGATAGGAGAGATACAATCAGCAGTCGCATGTAGCAAATCACAGTACAAAGGCACAGAACTGCTGCAGGTTACCGATAGTTGTGTCGGAGCAGAATTTTAGTTTTGAAGAATTTTTCATAATTGTTTTATCCAATCTTCAGTTTACAGTATTGAGGGCAGAAGGCAAGCTACCCGTGTAAGCCTCTTCACCACTAGTTTGAAGGTTAGATCAAATTTGGTCGTTCCTTTATAGTTTCTCATGGTGCCCATCCAGACGCCGCTTGAAAGCAGCGTTGGTCGTTTCTTCCACCACAGAAGCTGGAAGAGAACTACAGAGCGTTGTTGATCTACTCGAGAGTCGGAAGATCAGCCGATTGAAGTTTACGCAAGATAAAAGAGTACCTCCGCTTTTGTTCCTCCATCCGTAGAGGAAAATGTTGTTGCAAATCCGGACCCAAATCACCCCTCAGGATCTTCCTCGGGTAGATCAGATCTCCCCGGAGGCGCCAATACACAACTGGGGACATATCAGTAGCCTGTAGACGACCTTCATTGCAGGTCCCACGAAATTCAACAACGAGTCTAGTCGCAGCATGCTGTACACACTCCAAATTATCCAGTTCACTGGCCGTTCAAGGGTATGTCGTAGTGCTACCACAATTAAGTCTCAACGTGACATTGGTAACGTACGGCATTCTAAAAGCGTCCAGCGTAAGCCGACCGAAAGATCTCAAAACAGGTCCCAGAATGCTCCACGCATTGGAACAGAAGCTATCAATGTTTTACCGGATCTCTAGTGATCACGCCACAATAACTCCCAGATCTCTTTCGCAACATGGTTCCTTGGAGGATGTAAATCACCTCCGAATCAATACCCCCAGGAGCAAGTAAGCACACAGCATTATTGACTGGAAAGGCCCATGTGTCCGCCCTATGAGCCAGGGTATTCAAATCTACTTGTAGAGTACTCCGAGCTTCTGAATCCTCGATTGAATGCCAGATTTTGATTTCCTCCGCACACATGAGTGATGGGCTGAGCAGCTGACCAGTCAAGTCATTGATATACACCACGAAGAGGAGTGGACTAGGAACAGAACCTTGCGGGGTCTCACTGGAGGTGGGATACCATGTAGATAGGGATCAAGCAACACGGATGCAGAATTTCCTGTCGGTAAGTAAGTCTTGCAGGACTTCTGCCTGAAATACTGGGTACGGCAAGATGGGATTTTCCGGGAGCTTATTTGATGATGCAATATTAGGAAATAGTTTGTATCACTGATTATTCACAGTAGGATGTCTTTTCAATTTAAACGTGCAATTATTGTATTTGGTCAAGCAAAATTGTATTGATTTTATCACGTTTCCCATTAATAATTACATGAAGTATAGTTGAATGATACAGCAACCAGAAAGGTGCATGCATTTCGGATCACAACATATTTCACTCCACCTTACCCACCCATGAAAGGTTGTATCCCAAATTCTAGAATTGATCAAAGAACTAGCATTGGGCGGGTCGCATAAATTGCCCAATTTTGCTGTCAATTTGGGCATGCGTATTCACTTCACGGGGGGAACGCAAACTGGCCGCCTGCTGGGTGTCGGGTTCGAACCGGAGGCCGAATCTTCGATACTTGCACACATTACATTCAACGGAATCACCAATCCGGGACCGAACACAATGTGGACCCAAGCAGCTACTCGAATGACCGCGATGATTTTGAAACAGCTCCCACGTTGTGTGCCACAGTGGAAAACCGAATGGCATGGTCTCGAGGTTTGTCAAATTCAAGCAACCGGATTATTTCTGAATATTTGCGGACTCATGTGAAAGCATGTACTGAAAACCAATTATTAATCACCATCTTAAAACGGTTGAGTCAATGAAAGAAAGATTTGGAGCGATCCAAAATATGCGTTCTACAACATCTGAACACATTTCAAAAGTGAAAAATTATTTTTGATAATGCCGTTCTGCAGACACTACAAATCGTATAGAAGCTCAGCAAAGGTGATGATTGTTTCAGTAAGGAAGCTGGTCGGGAGGCTGTCAAAAGTCGGTTCCTCAGGAACTGCTCTCGATATATTTTTTAAGTGCACCGAACACGAATCACATTTGAGAAAGGGAATTACAGGCGTTTATATAAAAGCGTGAACCAACCAAATTGTTCGGTTAGCAAAATTAAAGTCTTCTAAGGAACAATCATATAAAAAAAACTGATGCAGTAAAACAAAAGATAAGCTTAAACAACACTTTCGAACACAAGGCTAACTGTTTCTACAATGAACAAAAACGTTATCGTGTTTGATTGGTTTCGAGGGAGCAGCATCACATTGATAAATATATCTCAGTTTGGACTAGAGCAAGCTCCGTAACCACATGCGGATGAGGCACATAAATAGTGGAACTCGAATCGGATAACGGAATTTCCTGTGTATTGTTGAACTGTTGGGAAAAGGTGTCCGGGATACGTTGAGTTATGTGAATCATTTGAAGACATCGATATGATGAAATGTTCTGGCACTTCTTATAACATATAGCGTATTCAATAAGTAAAATGAATTTTACACAAGGACTGTTACAGTGGATTGGCACTGACGGAAAACTAATTTTAGTCGAGTGATGCACATTCAAAGTGTGAAGTGTGGCTACAAGACTGGGTTGACCAGCATCCAGCCTCACTCTAACTGGGAAAATAAGGGAGCAAGGGAACAAGTTTTGTCATTTGGTTAGTTAGCTATATCTTAGCTCAGGCTGGTTTAACTTATCATCACACAGATACGGAGGTAAGTAATAATTATAGGGGCTATTATGAAAAGTTGCATGCCTGACGGCGTTCGTGATTTCAACATAGAAGTGACTTGAAATGTCATATAACGTATCATTTTATGATCGATAATTTACTTTTATCATCAATTTATTAATTAACTGTTATCGAGTTCTTCACTTAGGCCGTTCTCATTTGCCAACCGATTTGTGATCCAGCCACTTTGCGATCTTAATGAGCTCAATTTACACTGAACAGTGATTGATTTATCATGCAAAATCAGCGTATCTCATACACAAACACCGTTTACAAACCTGGGAGGAACCGCCTGTGTAGTCGTTTGACACACTAAAAGAGCCTTCCATTAAATCTAAAGTAGAATATCAGTCCTAACTTGGCCCATTCGGACAAAGAAGTTCATGAATGAGATGACTAATAATTTGCAGGAAGACAGTGTATGTTGTTTT